GTGTCAGTGCATTCAGGAGGGTGTCTGGCTGAGGCGTTTGTTTGGGGAGTTTGGTCATGATCATGCTGGTGGTGTGCCTGTGTTTGTGGATAATCAGTCTGCCATTGCCCTTGCACAGAATGCATGCTTGCATGGCCGCACCAAACACATGCAGGTCCGGTGGCATTTCATTCGGGAGATGGTAGCTGCGGGTGAGGTGATTTTGCAGTGGTGCCCTACCAACCGTCAGGCTGCTGATATTCTTACCAAGTCTCTTCCCTTTGAGCGCCATGGTGTGTGCATGACCTTGCTCGGGATGCAGCCCCATGATGACAGGGTTCCCGCAGCAGATGCCGGCGTCTTGGTGCTCCTCTCCTTGGCGGACTCCATGCTCTGGGTGGACCCAACCCATGAGCAAGGGGGAGTGGTGTGAAGTCTTTTGCCCTATGGTGTTGAGCCACACCCAGCACGAGCAAGGGGGAGTGATAAATGTGTAGTATTCTGTGGTGTAGTTTGCTCTAGCTGGTTGTGGGCTATTGGGTTTTGGGCAAAAGGACTTGGGTTGGTTGGCAATGTTTGAACTCGTTACCTTTCCAACCCATACAACCTCAAATCCACTACAACATCTTTGATGTTGCAGTCATGGCACTTGAGAGTGTTGGGGTTTAGTCTAGGGCAAGGGTTGGTGGTGTTTGACAATCACATACTGCAACTTTTCCAGATCGAACTGCTTCCCTTCTCATTTTTACTAGGTGATTCATGGCTGCCTAGCCAAATTACCAGAATACCCCCTCACACTGATTTCGTCATAATCGGCGGCTCAGATCTTGGTTATGAACGTGCTTTACCATTCTGGAAAGTAGAGATTAAGACCTTTCCAACGCGTATAAGCTCATTTCTCGAAGTTACCTGAGCAGCACGCAATGATTCGTTGAGGTCGTCACACTTAATCTCTAATTAGTTCTCTCCAGATTTGCACGATTTCCATCACTGATGGGGTCCTGGAAGCAGTCAAGAAAGTGCAGCAGCAGCAGACACATGGTGAGGTGCTTGCTGGTGTGGATACAAGTGCGGCATGGGCTAAGGCTTCATCAAGGAGTGGTGAGGCCAATTGGGAGACATGGCATGAGAGGCTGTGTCACGTGAACTTCCCTATGCTGCAGAAGTTGGTGAAGGATGGGAGCCTGAAGGGCTTGGAGATGAAAGGGGGAGTGAAGGAGATTGGGAGCTGCCCTACATGCTTGGAGACCAAGTTCTCCAAGTTCCCCTTGAACAGCACTACAGGACCAGCCAAGACCTCACTTGCACTTGTGCACATGGATGTGGTGGGGCCCACAAGAGCCCCTTCCCTCTCAGGCAGCCGCTATTTCTTGACAATTGTGGATGACCAAACTCGAGCAGTGTGGGTTTACCCTTTGAAGAGCAAGGGGGAGGTGGCAGCTGCTGTCCTCAAGGAGTGGATGCCTAGAGCTCAGAGGGAATGCAGACACAAGGTGAAGGTGATCCGCAGTGACAATGGTGGGGAGTTCATTGGAGCTGATTTTGAGGGGGAGTTGAAGAGGAAGGGGATCCAACATCAACTGACAGTGCCCTACAACCCGCAGCGGAATGGCATGGCTGAGAGGTTCAACAGGACCCTGCATGAGGGGGCAAGCACTCTCCTTGGGCATGCAGGGCTGCCTTGTCGGTTTTGGGTGTCTGCACTGAGGCAGGTCGCCCTTGTGAAGAACAAGGTGCTGGCTACAGTTGGGGATAAGGAGTGGATCCCGTATACTAAGTGGTATCGGAGTGCTCCAACCGTGAACATGTTGAGGGCATTTGGGTGCATGGTGGTGTTTCATGTGCCCAAGGAGAAAGGGGGAAGTTGGAGGCTTCTGGAAGATGGGGTGTGCACTTGGGGATTGCAAAGGACCACAAGGGGTGGCTGCTGTGGGACTTGACCACCCAGAAGTTGACTGTGTCAAGGGATGTGAAGTTTCTTGAGTCCCTGTACTACAAGGAATGGAAGCAGCAGCAACAAAAGCTTCCATCTAGACCGCTTATAATGGAGGCGGATGAGGTGCAGCGGCCTTCAAGAAAGGTGGAGGTTGCAGTGTCTGAGGAGGAGATGTCTGGGGTGACTGAGGAAGGGGGAGCAGCTAAAGTAGAGCAGCAGCAGCAGCAGCATGAGTCTCCACGTCGAGTTCCACACCCGCCTGAGCGACCTAGGAGGGATGTGCTCCCTCCGGTGAGGCTGACCTATGGGGGAAGAGGCAAGCCGAATGTGGTGCAGGCAGGGAGTGTGATTGAGCAGATTGAGGAAGATGAGATCGCTCACTGCTACTGGGCACCAATCCCTGAGCCCAAGAGTCGAGAGGAGGGCTTGAATGGACCAAATGGGGAGAAAAGAAAGGCGAGTGAGGATGAGGAGTTCGGGTCCCTGGTTGAGAACGAGAGATGGGACCTGTTTGACTTGCCTCCTGGGAAGAAGGCAATCACTTCCAAGATGATCTACAGGCACAAGTATGGACCTGAAGGGGAGCTGACCCGCTAAAAGTCTAGGCTTGTGGCACAGGGGTTTCAGCAGACAAAGGGGAAGGACTATGATGAGGTGTTTGCTCCTGTGGGGAAAGGAACAACACTGAGGGTGCTGTTGGCGATAGCTGCACTCCTGGGATGGAAGATACGGCAGATGGACATTGTGACTTCCTTTCTGAATGGGATCATTCTGGAGGAGGTGTACATGAAGCAGCCAGAGGGGCTGGATGATGGGAGCGGCAGGGTCTGCAGGCTGAAGAAGGCCATCTATTGCCTTAAGCAGGCGCCTCATGCATGCTATCACAACTTGGAGGAGGCGCTGCTGGCTGCATCAACTGCTTTGCTGGACAGCGCAGAGCAGATGCTGGAGATGCAGTTCAAGTGCTCCAAGATGGGTGAGGTGAAGTACTACTAGGGGATGCACGTGGAGAGAGATGTGCAGAAGGGTGTGCTGAGGTTGCACCAGAGGATGTACTGTGAGGGGCTGGCTAAGAAGTTTGGGCTGCAAGATGGGGGAAAGCCAGCAACACCACTACCTTCGGGGTTTACTGTGGAGCCATGTGCTGATGAGGAGGTAGTGGGTGAGAGTGACAGGAAGCTGTTTCATTCGATGGTTGGGTCTCTGAACTATGCTGCAAATCATACACGGCCTGACATTGCATTTGCTACATCACGGTTGGCTAGTGTGGTCTCATGCCCTAGTCATGAACAGCACGAAACGGCCAAGAGGTTGGTCCGCTATGTGAGTGCTACGGCATCAGTGGGATTGGAGTACAGTTGAGTGAGGCAGCGGTTGCAGAGAGGTGCTGCAGATGTGAAGAGTGGTGAGATGCTCTTGACTTGCTATACTGACGCTAGCTTCAACTCAGTGAAAGCGGATGGCACCAGCATTGGGGGTTATGTGTGCTTGCTAGGAGGTGGTGCTGTGAGCTGGCGCAGCAAGAAGCAGAATGAAGTGGGATTGTCCTCATGTGAGACTGAGTATATGGCCTTACATCATGGGGCCAAGGAAGTGGTGTGGCTGAGGCGCTTGTTGGAGGAGTTGGGAGTTGGCCAGGAGGAACCGACAGTTGTGTTCTGTGACAATGAGTGTGCAGTGAAGCTGGCCAAGAATGCTTGTCTGCATGGGCTGACAAAACACATAAGGCCTAAGTGGCATTGGGTGAGGAGACTCCTTGATAAGGAGGTGCGGCTTGAGATAGTGAAGACCCATCAGCAGGCAGCAGATATTTTCACTAAGCGTCTTGCGGACGCGGATCATTGGAAGGGCATGAAGCTTGCTGGGATGAGCGTGCATTGAGTATGCATGCTTGAGATGTGGTATGGTGCATGATGGTTGGCAGCCAGAGGGGGAGATTGTTGTGTGATGTCATCATATGCTATCACATTCTGTCTGCCTCCCATCCCTTGTTTCAATTCGTATGTATGGTTTAACTGTGTGTGAAAGAATTTGTGTGGTGTGTGTTCTGGAGGTTGGGAATGTGTTTTGTATTATTCTGTCTGATCAGGTATTTGTGATGATAGATCTTGAGAAGATCTTTCCGACGCAACAAGGATCGCTTCAATCGGAGCAAGAACGCGAAAGCTATGAAGATTCAAAGTTCATGAGCTTGCGTTACAATTGCGGAGGTTACAAAGTGAAGTTGTGGGGCGACTCTATATGGAGTTGGGACCTTTGGGGTTGGGGAAATTTGTCACTCTACTGTAACTGCTGCAAATTGGTTGAGAACAACCAAGCTAGGTTGGCAAGGGTGGCCAACTTGGATGGATTGGTTGCGAAGGGACAAATGTCAAAGTTGGGATTCCTCTAGGGGGGGAATCTTTGTGCTTATGGGGTTTCCTTGGTTGGGGAATCTCTTAGGACATTCCCTCTCATATCTCTCTTCTATCCCAACCTTTCTCTTGCTCCTCTAATTCGTTGTGAGATTCTTGAACTTTGAACTTTTGAGATTGAGTTATGTTCTCCTCCTACAGCTTACCCCCCAGTGCGTCGAAAGACATAGCGTCGCGAATACTCCATCAATCGACGTGATTTAAATAGAGAACGGTAGCTAGGATTACAAGCTATAACATATCAGATTTTAGCAACATTCCAACAGTGTGTTTTTTGTCGACGTCGTTTCTTGTGAAGACGACTTTTCTGTCCAGAATTTCGGATTTATATTTTGAGTAATTCTAGCTCCTAAGTTCACCTAGACTCCGTCCTTAATTCTAACAGGTCCACGCCGGTGCAACCCATTTTCTGTGGCCGTTCGCTGTACGCTACGCTGCTCACCAGCTTCCGGACCAGGTCTCCTGGTGACGCGTCTGTGTTCCACGTCTTGGGCAGCCTTGCTCACATCCGCGACACTGGCGCGGACAAGCTCTCACCTTGCACCCTTCCTTGTGTCTTCCTGGATTTTCTCTTGATGCCTCTGACTGGCTGTTCTACCACCCATCACATAACCGCGTTTACCAGTCTCGTGGCGTTAATTTCGATGAGACGCTCCCCTACTACGGACGCTTTCCGCACCGCAGTTCTCCTGTGCCTTCTCCTCCTCGCTTCCTTGTCCGTGCCCTGCCTGTTGCTCCCCTCCCACCCCACCCGGCCCAGTCTGGTGTCTCCCACGCCACTTAGTTTCCCTCAGTTGCGCCTGTAGGGGAGTCGGCTGACTCTGGGGGCCCAACTGCTGTGGGTGCGCCTGCTGTCCATGTGGCGCGCCCCCCGGCCTCGGTACCCCAGTCACCTCAACCGCCTCCCCCCTTGCCTCAGTAGCAGCAGCCGCCGCCACAGCAGCCTCAGCGTCCACAGTAGGGAGCAGTGGGTTCTAGGGGTGTTGGTTCTGGGGATGCTGGTATTGGAGGTGTTGGTGTTGGGGGTGTTGGTTATGGGGGTTTGAGTTCTGGGGGTGTTGACTCTAGGGGTGCTGGTTTTGTAGGTGGTGCATCCGAGGGTTCTAGTCTTGGGGGTGCTGTTTCGGGGAGTGCCGGTGGCAGTCGCGGTGCCACTGGAGGTCCTGGAGAGTACAGGGAGCACTTGCAGCCGTAGCAGCGGCAGCAGTAGCAGGAGGCGCAGCCGCAGCAGCAGGCGCAGCCACCGCAGCACGAGCATTCACAATCTTCCCTTCATCTCCTTGGTCTTGCTCCAGGTTCCCTTGTCCGCCCGCCCGTTCCCCCTCCGGTGCGTAACCCTGTTTACGGTCCGTTGTTCCCTCCTTCGGACTCCACTCCGGCTCGTTTTTCCCAGCGCTCCCCTCCGTCCCTAGACTTTTCCCCCGTTCCTCCTCGTCCCCAGTCCCCAGTTCTTCCCCACTAGGTCTGTCGCCCCTCTGGTGCTCGTCCTGTCTCTCCTCGTCCTAGTGTCCACCCTATGGTTCTTCATTCGCATTCTCCTCCAGTCACAGTCCTCCTGTTGCCTCCCCCGTCGTCGCTTCCGCCGTTCCCCCCTCCTCGCTCCGACTCTGCTCTCACTTCTCCTCCTACCCTCTCGTACTTGCTTGCGTCTCTTGTCACTGAACCTATTGCTCCTCCTGAGACTGTCTCTGCGCTTGTCACTACCGTCGTTGACTTCGCGGATAGCCGCCGCCTTGACTACGCTGCTGCTCTGGTCTCTGGTATTGCCCATCCTCCGTCCGTCGGGGATGCATCTGCCCGACATCCTTGTTCCGCGCTCTTTCGATGAGGCGGTGTCGGGGCCTTGGGCAGCCCAGTGGATACGGGCCATGGAGGCTGAGATGGCATCCTACAGATCCACAGGCACTTACGTCGACGCAGTTCCCCTGCCTGTGGCGAACGTAGTCGATGGCATGTGGATCTACAGGGTGAAGCGCGGACTTGAAGAGCCGCCGAAGTTCAAGGCGCGTTATGTGGCTAGAGGCTTCAGTCAGCGTGAGGGTGTGGACTTCTTCCAGACCTTCTCCCCTACCCTGAAGATGACTACACTTCGGGTCCTTCTTTACATAGCCGCGCAGCGTGACTACGAGCTTCACTCACTCGACATCTCTACAACGTTCCTGCAGGGTAGTCTGCACTCGCGCTCTAGGCTTCTTCCATACCTTCTCCCCGACCCCGAAGATGACTACTCTTCGGGTCCTTCTTCACATAGCCACATAGCGTGACTACGAGCTTCACTCACTCGACTTCTCCACAGCGTTCCTGCACGGTAGTTTGCACGAGCAGATCTACCTCCGGCACCCTCTAGGCTTCTCTGGGTCCTTCCCATCTGGGACCGAGTAGAGCCTGCGCCGTCCTGTCTACAGCCTTCATCAAGCATCTCGTGAGTGGCACGACACACTTCGCACCTCTCTTGCTGAGCTGCAGTTTCCGTCGTCTGCTGACCCCTCTCTCTTTGTTCGCACAAGTTGGACACTCTTCTACATTCCAGTGTACGTAGATGATCTTATATTTGCTACTCCTCACAAAGTCGCACTGGCCTCAGTGAAGGCCGAGCCACTTAGGAGACACAGCTGTATAGACTTGGGGGAGTTGAGATGCTATCAAGGCTTGGAGATCTTTGTGATCGTGCTGCTCGCACGATCACACTCTCCCAGTCCCATATGGTGCAACAGATCCTCCAGAGGTTCAGTCTCGAGTTCTCCTCAGCACAGCCCACCCCTCTGCTTATGGATCACAAGCTCTCTGTGTCAAACATATGTGGTGTCTTATAATAGACTAGATAGGGTCGTGCCTTAGACAGTACAACACTTAGGCTACAATATATCTAGCCTGTAATCTTGTTCCTTCCATAATTCATGTACTTGATATGGTATCATAGTAGGTTAGGTCCGCCCAACAGCTTCCGCCCTAGTCCTAGCCTCTCGCGCCCCGCTGTCCTTAGTGTGCCCCGCTTTCACTTGAGCGCCCCACTGGCCCTCGCTCGCCCGTTGGCCCCTTACGCGCGTGTCAGCCCCTTTCGCGCCCGTTGGCTCTGTTCGCGGCCGCCAGCCCCACTCACTCCCCCTGGCTCCTTTTGCCCTGCTTGCCCGGTTCACGCCCTGCTCGCTCCTCGCGCCCCTTCACTGCTGGTCAGCTGCTGCAGCTGCTGTGATGGCGGAGTCGGTGCTGCGCCTAGACGCGGAGGGGCAGGCGGTTGAGTTCGAGCCGTGGCTCGTCGACCTCTGCCGTTACCTCACAGGTCAGAGGCACGACGGCCACTCCCTGGCCGAACACGTTGACGGTACGCTCCCCTGTCCCGACCCGCTTGCTGCCCTCCCTGCTGCGTCTATGTCTGCTGACCGCCAGTCCTTTGCCACTGCTGCGCTTGCACGTACTGTCTGGCAGTCGCGTAACGCTGTAACGCAACTTGCTATCGGTCATGCCCTGCCCATGTCTGAGCGTCCTCGCTTTACGTCAGTCAAGACAGCGCACGAGTTCTTAGAGGTTGTTGTCGCACGCTACTCCAACCCTTCCTCTGCCTCTGCCAGTCGCTTGATCCTCCCCATGCCCTTCCCTGACTCACGTCCTTTCCCACCGTCGCTGACCTAGCCACTCACCTCCGCACCCTAGAGGCGAGTTGGCACATTGCTTGCACTGAGGCCCAGCTTGTTGTGGTTCCGCCCCCCATCTGCGCTACCCTTTACCTCCTGGCCACTCGCATCCCTCATCGCCTTGCCACTCCCCGCGACCACTTTCTGAGTCTTCACCCTGCTGACCTCACCCCCTCTGACTTTGTCACTACCCTCACTGCGATAGAGAACTCCCAGCACACTATCGCCCAATCTAGCGGCACTGCGCCGGTCCCTACCTTTCAGGTTTGTGCTCCCTCGTAGTGCACTAACTCTGACGGTTCAGCGGCTGTCGCCGAGACAGCCACTGCTGCTGCGACTACCGCTGCGGCGGCTACATCGCAATACCATCCGGGTAAGGACTGCCGCCCCAAAAGGGGGCGTGGTGGGGGTAGGGGGAGAGGGGGTGGAGTCGGTGGTGGCGGTGGTTTGTCCGTGGGTAGTACCGACGAGTGGACCGGGGCTGCTGCCTCAAAGCAGCAGCCACAGCAGCAACAGCAGGCGCCACAGCAACAGCAGGCGCCACAGCAGCAGCAGCAGCAGGCGCCACAGCAGTAGCAACCGCAGTCGCAGCAGCTGTTGAGCCGCCTCCCCCCGGGGTGGCCTGGCGCCAGTGGTGGTGGTACTCGAGGTGGCACTGCGTGCAACTCAGTGTCAGGTGGTGGTGCTGGTGTTGGGCCCTGCCAGTACTAGCTTCAGACCCGTCCTCGCTGCGGCTCCATATACAGCAAGGTCGGTCACACGGCCACTAGCTTTTTTCATCGCCTCGACGATCTGTTTCGCTTTCGCTTCGGCCCTGAGGCGTAGCTCCCCGACTGGCACAGCCTGCTTTGCCGTAGTTTGCAGATCTTTGACATGGACATGGATCAGATTAGTTCTGC